TGTGCATACCTTACCTAATAATAACAAACATGTAAATTGACCGTACCTTCACTGTGCTAACCAGCCAATCAGGAGAGTATGCAAATTAACAAAGATGGCAGTTAATTTGCATACGTAGCCTCCAAGCCGCTTAGCGAAGCCTGACGGCTCTGGGGCTAGCTCCAGCCCGAGCCCGGCCAGAGCAAAGGCTTGGGTCTCAGGTGCCAGAGGTAAACCGATGCCAGCAGCCAAGGGAAGGGAAGGCCTATTGCATGAATTTCTTCATGCAACAGGCCTCTAGTAGTTCATGTTGAGCTGAGATAAGGCTGCAATGGAAAGCATCCAACACCTTCTTCCTTCTACCGTGGTCGCCGCCTTGGCGGGCCTGGGACGGGGACCCAGATGGGAACCTGCACTTCTGCCCCGGCTTTCAGCTGCCCTGTTTTCTATCCTTATAGTTTTTCCTTTTCCAGAGTCTCATATAAATGGAAACAAAGCCTTTTGAGCCTGGCTTTTTTTCACTTAGCATAATGCATTTGAGAGTCGTCTATGTTGTTATCCATGTCAGTAGTTTTCCTCTTGTTGTTGCTGCGTATTATTCCATCAGATGGATGTGCCACAGCTTGTTTATCCATTCACCACTGCCAATTGCCTTCCAAATGGCTGTTCCATTCTGCATTCCCAAAGCAGTGCATGAGAATCTCAGTCGTTCTGCATCCTCACTAACATTTGGCATTGTCGGATTTGTTTGTGTGGGGTTTTTTTCTTGATTTTAGCTAGTCTAATAAATGTGTAGAAGTATCTCATTGTAGTTTTAATGTGTATTTTTATAATGCCTAATGATGTTGGGCATCTTCTCATGTTCTTATTTGCCATATGAATGTGTTTGATTAAAAGTCTGTTACAATCTTTTGTCCATTAAAATATTAGATTGTCTTCAAACTATGGAGTTTTAAGAGTTCTTTATGTAGTCTGGATTTAGATATTTTATCCCAGTCTGTGGCTTGTCATCTCGTTTTCTTTTTATTTTCTTTATAGTATTTTGAATTTTGAGGAAGTACATGATCTGTTGTTTTTTATGGATTGTGCTTTTTGATGTTATAATTAAGAAATATTTGCTTAACCCCCAAATCACGAAGTTTTTAAAAATATGTTTTCTTTTAGACGTTTTATAGTTTTAGAATTTATAATTAGGCCTACAATTCATTTTGGGTTAACTTTCGTATGTGATACAAGGTATGGGTCAAGATTTATTTTTTTGCATATGGGTTTTTCCAGCACCATTTGTTGAAAAGACTATCTTGCTTCCATTGAGTTGCTTTTGCACCTTTGTCAAAATTCAGCTGGCATATAGGTGTGTGTGTATTTGAGGATCTCTATTCTTTCGCCAATATCATACATACTATTTTGACTAGTAGCTTTATATTAAGTTCTGGAATCACACATTGTGAGTTCTTCAACTTTGTTCTTTTTCAAAGTTCTTTTGGCTATTGGTTCCTTTGATTTTCTACATAATTCTCTTTTTTTATTGATTTCAGAGAGTTTTTTAAATATTTATTTTTTTTATTATTAATTTCAGAGAGGAAGGGGGAGAGAGAAAGAGATAGAAACATCAATGATGAGAGAGAATCACTGATTGGCTGCCTCCTGCATGCCCCCCACTGGGGATCTAGCCATGACCCGCAACCCGGCATGTGCCCTGACTGGGAATCTAACCATGACCTCCTGGTTCATAGGTCGATGTTCAACCACTTAGCCACACCAGCTGGGCATCCACATAATTTTTAGAATCTGTTTGTCAATTTCTACAAAAATGTTTGCTGAGATTTTCATTTGGATTGTGTTGAACCTACAGGTCAGTTTGGAAAATTGATATTGAGTTTTTGAATTCATGAACATGGTGTACCTCCCCACTTATTTACGTCTTCTTTGACTTCTTTCGTTAGTGTTTTGCAGTTTTTCATATATAGATCTTGCATATACTATGCTAGATTTTTTCTGTTTCCTGTTTTTGTGCTTTTATAACTTTTTTTTTACTGTAAAATAAGTATATATTTCCAAGAAATTAAAGATTGAATCAAGGTGGCATTCTAGAACTCAAAATACCACCTTAACAGCAGATTACCTGGTGAAATTCTACAATCATTACTGTGGATGTTTTCATTGCAATTCCATCAGGTTAGTTACATCTTTACTCTCTTGATATTCCTATTCAAGTTTATGCTTTTTCTGTATTTACTTGTGTTCTTCAACATCTTTCAATAATTTTATACATAACAACCTTGCATATCTTTTGTTAAATATTTTTCTAGCTACTTTATAATGCTTTTTACAAAGCTTTACTTTCTATTAGCTAGATGCAATTGTTAATCTTAAATGAGATTAAATTTTTACTTTTGCATCTAACAACCTTACAGAATTTTCTTTTTCCCTTTTTAAATTAAATTTATTTGGGCGACATTGGCTACTATGATCATATAGGTGTCAGGTGTGGGTTTCCATGTTACAAGATCTGTGTATTGTACTGTGTGCCCAGCACCCAAAGTCAAATATCCCATCATCATATATTAGGACCCCTTTCACCTCCCACCCCTTTCTCTCTGGCAATCACCACACTGCTGTTTATGTTCATGAGTTTCAGTTTTATAATTCCATATATGAGTGAAATCATATAGTTCTTAGCTTTTTCTGATTGACTTATTTCACATAGTATAATATTCTCAAAGTCCATCCATGTTGTTGTAAGTGGCAGTATTTCATCCTTATGGCTGAGTAGTATTCCACTGTGTATATGTACATCTTCTTTATCTAGTCCTCTATCATAGGACACTTTAGTTCTTTCCATGTCTTGGCCACCATGAATAATGCTGCAATGAACATAGGAGTGCATATATATTTGTGAATACATGTTTTCTAGTTTTTTGGGTATATACTCAGGAGAGGGATTGCTGGGTCGAATGATAGCTCTATTCTTAATTTTTTGAAGAATCACCAGACTGCTTTCCACAGTGGTTGTACCAGTCTACATTCCCACCAGCAGTGAATGAGGGTTCCTTTTTCTCCACAACCTCTCCAATACTTGTTATGGCTTGTCTTGTTGATAACGGCCACTCCAAAACAGGTGTGAGGTGGTAGCTCATTGTAGTTTTGATTTGCATTTCTTAATTGCAAGTAAGGTTGGCATCTTTTCATATATCTTTTGGCTGCTGGTATGTCTTCTTGGGAGAGGTGTATTTTCAGGGCTTCTGCCCACTTTTGGATGGGGTTGTTTGGTGTTGAGTTCTTTATATATTTTAGAAATTAAACCTTTGTCGGAGCCACTGTGTGCAAATATCATCTCCCATCTGGTTGGCTGCCTCTTTGCTTTGTTGTCAGTTTCTTTTGCCATGTAGAAGCTATTTAGTTTGATATAGTTCCATTCATTTATTTTTGCCTTTACTTCCCTTGCCTTTGGGGTCAAGCGCATAAAATGTTCTCTACGACCAAGGTGCATAAGTTTGGTACCTATATTTTCTTCTATGTAACTTATTGTTTTGGATCTTACTTAAGTCTTTGATCCATTTTGAATTAATTTTTGTACATGGGGACAAACTGTAA